CCAAATCAAATTTGAATTCAGCAAACAATTGGGGAGCACAGGCAAACAAAACAGACAAGGAGCTCTTAGATTGACTTCTCCATGCACGTGAAGACCATTAACAATAGATGTTATGTTTTCAGATCAGAATGCAAGTGGTTGATAGGCAATTTGAGAAATTATTATTTCACCAAGCAAGCCCATTGACCTCTGAATTAAATTAAATGATTATTTTGGCATAAATACTACCTGTGCTCTTTTCTCAGAGAACAAACCTGGAAGTAGAGGAAATTTGACTTAAGAAATAGTCTTCTTTCCTGGAATTCATCAATCATTTATAATTTATCAGAAGAAAACAAAAATTGGCTCAAACATGGAAGAGAACAACTAGTTAAAATTTAACAAACCCAGTGACTCAGAGCAGGGCCAGTGTAGGCCGCTAAATCCAATTCTGAGGAGTCAGGTTATAAATTTAGCCTATAAATCACTGTTGGCCGTTTGCCCTCAGAAAACTTCTTATCTGATAGGATTAGATGTACGACTTGAGATTGTGGTAAAAAGCAAGTCTTTTCTTTAAAGTTGTGATGACACATCTCAGATGCCAACGCAAGTCAGCAAAAAGCCAGGAATACAGACACCATCCCTATAGGGTCGAATACAATAGAATTTCCAATTTCTTTAAGTGTTTATCAACCCTGTGCATATGAGATATATATATATTTATATTGAGATATATATATGAGATACATATATATATTTACATATATATGATGTACAACAAAGTTGTGAATTGGTATCTTACCTGCAACAAATCAATATTTTGTAGACTTTAGCAAGAAGAACCACAATGACAACTTGCTCTATTTGATGCCCTTTGCTTAAACGCTGATGGGAATGACACCTTTTCACAAGGTGTGCAGCCTCGTTCTATTATGAAATTATCATTTCATCTTTGATTGGCAGAATTAATTGAGGTGGAATCTCCACCTAAACGAGATACCCGGTGCTTTCTTCTCTGGAGGGCATCACGGAACCAGCCTGCAGTTAGTAGTGACAGATCATTCATCACAGAAAACATTTTGCACCTGGAACAGTGAAGCTTGGTCCCCACAAGCCAGATCTATCAATAGTGGTCCCTCTACAATTCCCTGTAATAAAATACCTATTTGTACAAATTCCATTTGCCAAGTTAAAACACTTGGTGACTCATAAGCCTTAAAAACATGCACTTAACACTCTCTGTGAATCAGGCAATGTGCTCAGCACACTATTCCATTGAATCCTGGTAACAGTCCTATGAAGTATTATTTTAAATGATTTTTTCTGTCTTACTAACGCAGATTCTGAAACTCAGAGAAGTTAAGTAACTTGTCCTAAATGACACAGCTAGTAAGTTGTACAAACGGTCTTCGAGCTCCAGAGCTCTCGACAGCTGCTGAAGCATATTCTCTCCAGCTGAGCTATCCTCTCCTTGAAAAGCAATGCCTCAGTCACCATTTATGTTCAAATAAAAAATAATCAAGAAATAATTGTTAGTACAACAAATAAATCATTGTGAGTAATCATTAAGTATATATTTAATGATACGTATTTTGTGTACATGCTGATACAGAGACATGAAGCCTTTCCCTCACTTCATGCTCCACTCTCTGCCCCACCCCCTCCACAGCAGCACACAGTGGCAGACTCTAGGGTGTAATCTCGAAACGATATTCAGTGTACACGCTGACATGTGTGCATACGTATTCTGTTGTCTTTTAGGATTTTGGCCTTTGATGTTGTGTGTAGTGTTCTTTGGAGGGGGGTGGTTTGGCTAGGAAGGCTTTTTTATAATGTGGTCAAAATTCATCATCTTTGCTGGGAGCTCATCCCGTATTTAGATACACCTTCCATGCTCAAATATTATAAATGATTTCCTCATATTTTCTTCTAGCATTTGTGTGGATTACTCCATTATATTCCAATGTTTATTTAAACTGTAATTTATTTTTGGCATAAGAAGTTAGGTATGCATGCCACTTAATTTTTTCCCCAGATAACTTCCCACTTGTTCTAATGCCATACTAATGCCATATATTTAATAATTTCGAATATCTTCACTGATATGTAATACTAACTTTATCATATTAAACATCAAAAATATTTAGGCCAATATCTTGATAATACTTATCTACCTAATATGGACCACTATGATATTGTTTAAAATATATGGATTTACAATATGTTTTCATATTTGACAGATATTTTGGTCCTCATTCTTCTTGTGTAGAATTTTCTAAGATGATTTTCCCCTTTTTTATTTGAGTTTTGGAAACAGCTAATCTAACTCTTTTAAAAAAGGAGAAAGTAAGGAGAAAAAAGTCTTTTTTATAGTTTTATTGGATATTAATTTGTATTGATTCTTTTTATTTAGAAATAGAGCATGATTTTTATTTTTCCAATTTTTATTTTATAATCCTAAAGTATTGTTTGGAATTGTTAATAGTATTCATTCTATTGCTTATTACATTTTTCCTTAGATATTTTATCTAGTCGTATTTGTATGGTTGAAATTATATGTGATGTTTTTCTTCCATTATATTCCAAATGGTTTTTATTTTTATAGAAGATGGCTATTGATTTCTGATTAGTAATTTTTATACACTCACCTTATCAATAGCTACTTTCTGATTGATTATTTACTTACTTTTACATAATTATCCTTGCCAAAGTCATTTATTTTTCATTTGAAAGTTTTGAGAGATATTAGAAGAGTAAACTTTAAAGGCTTATTTCCAGCCCAATTCAATTCAATATCATCAATTCATTACTGAGTGTTAAATGTTGCTATATGTTAGGTGTGGTAGCCATAAAATAACTACCATCTAATGAGGTGCATAGTGCGTGTGTGTGTGTGTGTGTAAAACAAGGTTTCTATAAATGCTATGAAATGCTATGAAAGGGGCAGAGCTGGCCTGCAGAGTTTTGAATTTTGTTTTGGAGGGAGTAGGAATCATGAAACAGGACCTTCAGGTTGTATAGAAATTTGTCAGGCAGAGATGCAGGGGTGCATATGAAGGCAACCTAGGTAGAGGGTGGCCCATATAAAAAGGAAAACACAATCCACATTAAGGGAACGTTGTGTGATTCCATTTGTTTAGACTAGAGGATGCAGGAAACAGAATCAAGAGGGAAAACACAGCAAAGAGACAATGACTATGTTTACATTTACTATGGTGAGAGACAGGGAGGCTTTTGATCAGCTGAGTGTCATAAGCAAAGCTACGTTATAGGAAAACTACTCTGTCAGCAGGGTGACAGTTTGGAGCAGGAAGGGACTGGCGTGGAGGAACGGAGGTCAGTCAGCAGGCAGGGTGGACACGCAGTCTGGACAAGAAATAGGACAGCCTCCTCCGGCAGGTGGCAATGGAAATAGAAAGAAGGAGTAAAATGCAAGTGGAGCCATGAAAACAGTTTTAACATCAAGCTTTGACAGGTTGTTAGATGAGTAGATAATAAAAATGAGGAAGTTCATGGACTTTAATTGGCCAGAGGTCCACTAAATGTGATTGGCAATAATGGATAAGTCAGCGAGAGGAACTATTAAAGAGGAGAGAAAAGGCCATGAATCTGGTTTTGATATGTTTACCTTGTTATAATAATTGTTAATTAATTACTGAGTAGGAACATTAACTTTGCTTCAAGTCAAAACTTAAATATTCCTTTGTAAAGATTTAGAATTAAAGTGTTAGCATTTCTTTCAATCTAGACAAATTTCTCTTATGAATACATTTAACCAAAATCTGCATTAAGCTTGGTTTCAGAGGAGGAAATGAGGGATAACCAAAACTAGGAATATTAATAATAGCACTGATACACAATTATAGATTATCAACAAGAGATGGTGACAAATGTGTTTTCCCAGTATACCAGGAAGCTGTGCGGGCAGAGCCAACAGGCTGGTCTTCCTCTAGTCGCTCCTTTACCCCTTTTCCTCCAGCTAGGGTTCTAGTCACAAGATGGCAGGTGCATTGTTTCTCGCCCCTACCTCCTGCATCCAGGCTTTCCCCTGAGGTGAGGAGATGGAACCTCAGAAAAACAAAGGAGGCTCCTGAGAGGCTCCCCTGTGGCAATGTGGTGCCCTGCCCTCCAGTGCTGTAAGACAAGGGGGAGGTGAGCTCAAGGGCTGAGAGCCTATGCAAATGGTCAACATAGGGGTGAAAAGGATTAAAGGGTACAAACTTCCAGTTGCTGAAGGAGTAAGTGCTGGATATATCATATACAGCATGGTAACTACACTTACACTATATTGTATATTCGAACATTGCTAAGAGAATAGCTCTTAAAAGTTCTCATCCCAAGAAAAGAATCTGTAATGAGGCATGGTGATGGATGTTGACTATGTTGATCATTTCACAGCATATACAAATACTGAACTATGATGTTGTAAAGCTAAAATGAATATAATGCTATATGCCAGTTACATCTCAATTTTTAAATCAAGAGAGAAAAAAGATAACAACACAGAAGGGCAGGGTTATATTTCCAGGGTCATATGTTTTGGGAATACTAATAAATTGGGAGCTGATAGAAAGTAAAGTCTCCTCTTGCCACAGCCACAGGTTAAAAAATAATTAGGTGACCTAATCCATGGGCTAAGAGAGGGCTTTCAGGAATTTGGGTTATCACACCAGTCTCCATCTTAGGGTTGGGCTGGGTTTGTTCTGGTCGAGGTCAACTGGCTGGGTTTGTTCTGGTGGAAGTCAGGTGTTGGTGTTTGCTCTCCCCGTCACATACTGGAAGAGCTTGCATCATGCAACTCTCCAGGCATCCCTCCCTCACTTGCTGTTGCAGATGAATTGGCTGCAGAGGGGAAAGGTTGAACTGAGCCAAAAAAGGAGGAGCTTAAACTGTTGTGCAAAATCTGGGAACCCAACGGAGCGTAGGTGGGGGCAGGGATGAGGGAAAAGTGACATCCCCCACCTCCAGGTAAGAAGGCCCCATGATCAGCTCCAGCCAGTGGCAGCCCTGGGCCTCCTCAGAGCTTACATAAAGGGACAAGTGGAGCCAGAGAGGCCACAGTGCTCATACTTACAAGGTTGGAGCACAGGGCACCAGACATCATGAATTGGTCCTTGCACCCCCGGAGTTTAATCCTCTACTTCTACACTCTTCTGTTGTTCTCTTCAACATGCCTAGCTGTAAGTGTGCTCTCCACCAGGTGTATTTGTTTTCAATGGAAAGCTGAAAAATAAGAAAAGATATGCAAACTAGTGAAATTTCTGTATTTTTCTCCTCTAGTATGTTGCCACCAGAGACAACTGCTGCATCTTAGATGAAAGATTTGTAAGTAGTTTCTATGTTTCTTGCTGTGTTTGGACTGCAGAGGGGCAGAGGGATAAAAGGAATTCTCTCACAAATATTATTTGGCATTTTAAAGTCTTTTAACATAGTCTAGCTTTTGCCTGTTTTTATTAATAGATTTTAAGTGCAGCTTGGATCAAGATTTGAAATCACTTTGTTGTTGAATTTGCAGGGTAGCTATTGCCCGACTACGTGTGGGATTGCAGATTTCCTGTCTAACTACCAAAACGAAGTAGAAAAGGATCTCCAGTCCTTGGAGGACATCCTAAGTCAAGTTGAAAACAAAACCTCAGAAGCCAAAGAACTGATCAAGACAATCCAAATCAACTATAATCCTGATGAGCCCACAAAACCAAGTGAGGAACCTGACAATACTGACTGAGAAAATAATTTGTAAAGTTCTTTTGCTGTTGTTTTAGTGCTGCCTCTATCTGCCTAAGCATGTTTGTCTCTCTCTGTTACAGATGGTGTGGAAAGCGCCACCAAGAATTCCAAGAAAATAATGGAAGAGGTTTTGCAATTTGAAGAAACGATTCTGTCACATGCGTCAAGTATTCGGTATGCATTTCTGTTTTAACTTGCTTTTCAAGAGTGATTGAGGTTTTATATTGCAAACTTCCGGAGGAATAATTTTTTCCACTTCTAATATCTGAGTGGCATTACACCTGACCATCTGGAACACGGTGCAGCAAGCATTTTAGTGCCATGTGAATTGTATTGGGTTATAATTGCTTTTTAACAATCATATGAGAAAAGGGGATTTTAGATGTTTTCAAATGCTCTTATGACTGTATTTATCAAAATGTCCCCCCCCAAAAAAAATTTATTTGTCTTACAAAATAAATTCAAATGAGAATTTGGGTGCAGAAACTAAAATTCTCTTTATAAGATTGTCAGCTAAGTGCCGGTGAGGGATAAGCCAGTGGAGGCATGGGAAGGACATTGGCTACAGAAGTTAAAAAGCGAAGTGTAACAAACATGATAAAGTTTTGTCATAATTGCACAATGAACCTGCAATCACATACTCTCCTCCCTTCACTTGAAAGTAAAATGTCTTTAGTAACAACTTCCGGAGACTCATTAACTTCCTGAACATAGAGTCTCAGAGACAGTTTTAATTTCCTCAGTTTTTATTTCTATATTGTTTTCAAAGCAGCTTAAGAAATAATGATAAGTGGTGGCTTAGGAGAAAGGGTTTAGGAGGGGTTTCTCCTCTTTCTGGCATGAGAGGCCCTTGGTCAGTAACATTATAAGTTGCATTATTATTACCTGTCACTGAAGCTGAAAAAGCTAGCATGCAGAAACTTTCTAAGGTGTAGTAGAGAAAAAGAGTGGTCAAATACTTTTTACATCTTTCTTCACAGAAAGACGCAATAGTCTGTAGACGGTTTTGTTTCATTTCTGAGTATGTACAGCAACCCTGTGAGAACTACAAATGCAGGGTTTATACTTCCTCCGGCCTTTTCCCAAAACCATGTAAACAGAAATATTAAGAAGGTCAGGAAAGTGTCTGTTGTCTTATTATATGTAAGATAATGTCCCAGATCCTTTCCCCATGTAAGTTATAGATTACAGACCTTAAGTAGATCCTCAGTAGATTCACCAGTGAAAAGCATAATTCAGTGCATGTGAATTAATGAACAGAGGCTTTTCTTCCCTGAGAATATCCAGTCTGAGGAATAATCACCAGGCAAAAGTCAGAGTGCCCACTGTTTAATGACAATGGCATTGTTTATGGACAAGGATTTTGTTACCTTCTTTTCAAGACAGCTTAGAATTTTAACTCCCTTCAATGAAGCAACAGCATTGTAGAGTTTTCCCAAGGAATGGCGTAATGCATCAGAAAGTAATTCTCCAAAAGATAAGGTAGTAATTTTAAATGAAAATGCAAAGTTACACCTCTGAAGGGAATTCTCTATTATCTCACTCTTTTGCTTATAGATTTTTGCAGGACATATATAATTCAAATAATCAGAAGATCGCTACCCTGAAACAGAAAGTAGCCCAACTTGAAGCTCAGTGTCAGGAACCTTGCAGAGACACAGTGCAAATATCTGATATAACAGGGAAAGGTAAGTGACAGATTGATACGGGGTCACCTTCATCAAAGTGAATACAGCAAGAAAAGATTTCATGTTTTGGAATATATAGGAATAACTTTGAAAGTGCCCAGTCACTAAATCTAAAATGTCCAATTGCTTTGACTTTTTTTGAGTAGCTAAAAGTAGTTTGAAAGGAATGATAATGTGAGAAGTAACAGAAAGCTTCATGGGAAATGAATAGTTGGCAACTTGTTACAAGCCCATGTTCAAGGATGGAACAGTCTTACCTGGATTTCGAACCATAGTAAATGCTTCTTCTTCTTCTCCTTCAGATTGCCAAGATATTGCCTATAAAGGGGCCAAACAGAGTGGGCTTTACTTTATCAAACCTCTGAAAGCTAAGCAGCAATTCTTAGTCTACTGTGAAATTGATGAATCTGGAAATGGATGGACTGTGCTTCAGAAGGTATTTTTTTGCTCACTATGTGTATTTAATAAATGCTTATATAAGCATCTGCCTTACGCTGGATACTTTTCTAAATACCTTGTGAACATTAACTCAGTCCTCGAAGCTACCCTGTGAGGTAGGCACAACAGTCACCTCTGTTTACAGAGGAGGAAACTTAGGTACAGGAGGTAAAGTAACTTCAGATCATACAACTAACTAGTAGTAATGGAGTCAGGATTTGAACCCAGGCAGTCTGGTTTCAGAGTCTGTGCTTTGACTCTGTGCTCTGCGGTCCCTGCTGTTGTAGACACATGATACCGCATAGTCACAGAATCATCGTGACAAAAAAAAAAACAACAACAACAACTGGAAGGGACCTGTTTCATCACTTAGATCAAGACCTATGGCTGCCAATTACAAAAAGTTAATGTCCCGCAGAGGATAAAGTTGGGCTGTTCCAAGAAAGGACCCCGTTTCCTCTCTGCCAGTCGGCGGCCTCTTCTGCAATCTTTTCCCGTTTACTTCTGGCCGCGGTTACAACTAATCCTGCAGGGGGTGCCCAGAGGGTATGTGTGATGGAACCTCTGGTTGTCAGACAGATAGAGCAATGAGTTGACCTTTCCACCATCAATACAAAAATCAGCAAATTCAGGCTGAAGTCCTGGGGCCTCCAAGTGTCTTCTAAAAACTACCGCTAATTTAGAATTTACTATGTGCCGGGCATTCTTTAAGGATTTCTCTTACATGGTCTCATGAAATCCCATAACAACCCTAACAAGTAAGCATTATCATTCTTATTTGGCAGATGAGAAAACCGAGGCAGCTTGCCCAAAGCCATTTAGTTAACAAATGATGGGATTGTACTGTCCATATTTTCAACAAGGGTTTATAACATTTGCTTTATGTGCATGGATCATCCATTCTTTCCTTTTGCCTATGCACTTGTGTGATCAGAGGCTCGATGGCAGTGTGGATTTCAAGAAGAACTGGATTCAGTACAAAGAAGGGTTTGGACATCTGTCTCCCGATGACACCACAGAATTTTGGCTGGGAAATGAGAAGATTCATTTGATAAGCACACAGTCTACCATCCCCTATGCGTTAAGAGTGCAGTTGGAGGACTGGACTGGCAAAACCAGGTACTGTTGGAGACGGTGCTTCTTGTTGTCTGGGATGTGTGTTTTCCAGCCATCGACAGACCAATGGCAAAGCCAGTCTGGCAGATGCAAAGAGCGCAGCCAGCTGTTTCCCCCAGGAGCCATTTGGGTTCTTGGGCAGCCCAAAGAGATAGATCCTATGTGGGATGGATCTGAGTATTTTGGTACAATCTACTTTCCCTAGAAGTGTACAGAATAATCACTGATATTTACTGAGCACTTAATATTTATCAGAAACCAAGCATGAAATTATAATTTAATCTAGTCCTAATGACTCTTTCATGAAGCAGATAATATTATTACTCCCATTTTACAAATTAACTTTCCCAAGGTCATATTGCTATGACAACATAAAGGTGGGACTTGAACATAGGTAGTTTGACTCTACAGATTGTCTTCTTAACACTATCCTGGTTGAAAAGTGAATCCAGCCTTTTCTGATTTCCTGACTACCTTAAAATTAAATCAGCTGGCTCCTTTAGTGAGGTGGATCCCCCTCTATGCTCAGAGCTATCTGGGGGCTTTGAGCATTGGATACCTAATGAAAATTCAGAAAAATGCTCAACTCCCTTTTTATGAAATAATGCAATATGTTTTGTGTCCAAACACATATTTTTATTTTTTGAAAATCTTACCCGGAAAGTACCATAGTCAGTATATCTGTTCCTATGAAAACATCTTCCATTTTGCAAGTACTGGAGATCCAGGAAGAAGCTAAATATTTTCTGGAAGTCCCTGTTCATGTACCAAGGCCCAATCTTCCCTGAGCTCCATAGAATTCTGGCCCTCATTCATATTTTTCCCAAGGGAGAATCTCTCTCTGTTTCCCCAGTTCATGTTTTGTGGGCCACACAGGGCCCCCTTCTTTCATGTGACATTCTAAGAAGCCCTCCTTATTGCTACTACCATGTTACCTTGGGAAAAAATAGTCCCTTTAGGATTCACCCTTCGGATTGTGTGAGTAGCTAAAGGGGCTGTAGCTCCTTTGAATTTGGCGCATTAACTAATGGTTACTCAGTGCCAGCTAATTACTGTGGTTTATGATACCTGTGTGAACAATGCTAACCACTTAGATGAAAGTGAAAATATAAAATCAGTCACATTCATCCACACATCTGATAATAGGATCCCATAGGCAAAAAGCATTAAAATGGCTGAAGGTTTTAGTTTTCATTGAAATGCCAGGAAGGCTTCTAGAAACCATTCTGGGTGGTGCTGATGAGCTCTGAACTGGCTGATGCAGCCATTGCCTCTTGCCAAGTTTGCAGAAGACTTCATTCAGTGAGCGCATTTCAGACTTAAGAAGCAAAGTTAAAAATTCCAAACAATTGTCCTATAGGAGAGGAAACTTCCGAGATCCCTAAAGAGGCTCAAGATATTATGTGTCTATTTCTTTCTAGTACTGCGGACTATGCCATGTTCAGGGTGGGACCTGAGAGTGACAAATACCGCCTGACATATGCCTACTTCATTGGTGGAGATGCTGGGGATGCCTTTGACGGCTTTGATTTTGGTGATGATCCTAGTGACAAGTTTTTCACATCCCACAATGGCATGCAGTTCAGTACCTGGGACAATGACAATGATAAGTTTGATGGTAACTGTGCTGAACAGGATGGATCTGGTTGGTGGATGAACAAGTGTCATGCTGGTCACCTCAATGGAATCTATTACCAAGGTATGACTTTCTTCCTTAGATACATGAGTTAATGTGTAGTCTATATTTTTATAAAAGGTAAACATAGATAAAAGGAACTGAGAAATAATTAGTAAAGATATTAGGGGGCTTATTATATGGTTCTTGATTTTATACCAGAATTGAATAACTATGCTTATACCTCAAATTGGCCCCTCTGTAAGAACTCCACCTGCTGCAATAGAGCCAGTGGTTTGTCATCACATCTGAAATTACCACCATTAGAGTTGACACTTTGGACTATGGGATCTCCTTCAGATTTACCATATCTATGATCTGGGTGGACTAACATTGCCATATTTGTGCTAGTTAACACATTAGCCTGGCCCAGCTACACACAAGCAGTGTATCAGATATAACCAGTGAGCAGCAAACTGGTGTCTGGAGGAATGGAGTAAAAAGCAGGAGGTGTTGGTAAGGACAGGGGTCCATGGGACCTTGAGAGGAGGAGAGTCCTGCCTAAGAGTCTAGACCCTTACTTTAAGATGGGGGAAAGCAAGCTATAGTTGGCGCTAAGGCTGGAGTACTTGTGAACACTGGTTTTACTTCCTGACAAACTACTGTTATTATACAACAGTTATGTATGAGGAAGCCCTACTGTTGCTAGAAGATCCATTAAGATGAGCCGTTATTTCCTCAGGACATTGCCCTAGCCAATAGGTGCCTTAAAATCCTTTAAAAATGATTTAAATTCACCTTTTGGCTTTCACAAGTTTCTTTTTTTTTAAGAAGCTAATTTATCTTTGCATCTACAAACCATATAACTAGAAGACATTCTCAGGGAAGGAGCTCGATCCATATGAACCAGAGTAGCCATGTTGATGGCCGGTATTGGACCCAGATATTGTTACAAAATTACCCGAGATCTGCTGCCCATGGACAAGGAGAAGGCCAGTCAACCTAATCTCCACTTTATAGTGGAGATGTGAAATAACATTCCGGAACTGTTTTCTAAAGTCCCTCATACTTTCCAGACAATTGTGTTTTCAGATGACTCGAGACCATCTGATCAGGAATTGTGACATTTCTGCCATTTCAACTTACTTGCAGAAAGATGGTCCATAGTAGCTGAGTCCAGATGGTCACACTCGGGGAGAGAGACAAACTGGGGAAACTGGGGTTCTAGCCCTTTTAGTAGGGAATATATTTAAAGAATGAATGTAACTAGAAAATGTAACACAGGATTAAGGGGTTGTTTAAGAATCCTCTTATTTTTATTGTAAATGAAGATTTCAGGACTCCTTAGGGGTATTTTCAGTTAGTTGCTAGCACTATAAATTTGATGTGATAATGGCATCATAAGTGACAGTTCTGTACAGACTCTCTGAGGTACGGAAATGCAGGAGCAGTGATATGTCCGTCTACAATTTGTCTCAGGTGGCACTTACTCAAAAGCATCTACCCCTAATGGTTATGATAATGGCATTATTTGGGCCACTTGGAAGTCTCGTTGGTATTCCATGAAGAAAACCACCATGAAGATAATTCCATTCAACAGACTCACCATCGGACAAGGGCAGCAGCACCAGCTTGGGGGAGCCAAACAGGTCAGCCCGGAACACCACGTTGACATAGAGTATGACGAATAGAGTTTCACACTGAGAATCAGTGTTCATTTCTATTAACCCACAACATTTCAGAAACTTTTCTGAAAGTTTCTTTTCATTTTCTCTCAACATATTCATCAATTTTGTCTTTTATTAAGAATGTTAAGCCTTAAATGGAAATTATAACTTAGTTTGGATTGTATTCCCAAATTACTGAACTCAGAGTTATTTAAAATTTATTTTATGCAATAACATTTTGTATATTTTCTAGGTATATATGAAATAATTGCCATATTTTTTTACATTTTAATGATCACATGTTGTTTTGTCTTGGTGACTTAAAAATTATGTCTTAAATGTTTTTAGTATATGCTAGCAAAATAGGAGTAAATTCTAGCATTTCCAATATCTTAAGTATTTTCCCTTGTGTATTATCTTAAATACTTTATATTTAATTATTTTTAAATGGAGACAATTATATCTTTTTAATATATTTTTGTTTTGGTCATAGGCTGGAGACGTGTAAAAGACCATTTCAAAAGTGATTTACTTTTTCAAAAGGACTTTATTTGAACAGATAAATGTAATATTTTTCATATGGGACAATGGACTTGTAAAGCCTCACTTCGTTTTAAGAGAACAAAAACCCAGGTTGAAAACTCCACTGACAGTTTTATGCTGGTGATAATTTATCTACATGCCATTTCAATAAACTTTTGTTTCCTAAGATTAGATACATGGTACCTTTTATTGACCATAAAAATCACCACTCTTCTTCAATTTAGTAATTACAGTTGGGCAACCATCAGTAGTTCACTTTACACTAAACATTATACCTGCCTGTTGGGGAGTTAAATGAAAAAAAAAATCATGGCTTTTTCCTTCCAGGGGGTATAAAAGAAACACAGAAAAATACAGTAACCCAAAGTGACAAAATTTGATACAAAAACCAAACACAAGTCATAATCACATAACAGATTCAAAGTCCCTGAAGTGCAGCTGGGACACACGGGCTGTTTGGAAATTTTCCCAGCAGAACCTTTTAGCTCCGGACCCCTGAGGCCAGATGCTGGCACTCTGAAAGGACAGGAACTCAGAGCAGAGAGCTTTAGGGAACGATCTGCTCAGTCCCTCCCTGGTAAACAATGAGGTCAGTGGAGGGGAGCCCTGGCTTCATTCTGAACCCAGGGATATTGAGTTCTTAGCAGCCGGAGATGAGGGAGCACTGACTTTCTGTAAGGAACTCTTCAGTCTGTATAAGCCGCCATAAGATTAACCTCGTAAAGCAATTGACTAATTCTAGGAGGGGAGGATTGGGTTGTTCTGAAATCCTGAGGTTTGGCCTTGGATTCCCTTCTTTTCCACAATTTCTGTCCTAATTGTCTCACTTCCTTGTTCTCATGAGTCTTGATTTTAAAATATCCTATTGAGATTCGAGTAAATACACAACTGAGTACCTGTGAGACTTTGGGAAACAGGAATGCTTATTCAGTGTTTGCAGCACCCATTGATGCATGTACCTGTGAAGGGTGTATAGCACTAACATTTATTGAATGTGTTTGTTGCACTAGACACTGTGCTGAATGTTGGGGACACGGCGCATAGTACTATCCTCCTCTCTCCCAGACCTGCTCTATTCCATCCAGTTCTCAAGTTCCAAACAACCAAGAACTCATCCCCTGGTCTTCCTTATTCCTCCCTCCCCATGTCACCAAGTCTGTCAAATCCACCAACATATTTCTTATAGTCATTCCCTTTGATATACCCACTGCCACATGCTAGGTGGGATGCACAGCATCTCCTGCCGGGATAATGGCGCTCACCTTCTTCCTGCCCTTCATTGTGCCCCCACCCTTGCCGCTCCCCCACCTCCTCATGCTCCAAACTGCTTCCAAACTCTTAATGCACACAGTCTACCCTGTAAAGTCTTTTAGGTGAGCAATTTGGTCATACATAGGAATAAGTATATAAATCTTAATGTTTTGATGCAGTAATATGATAGTGATTTAGCCCGAGAATTACTTTTGAAAAAGAAAATAACTTCACAAGATCTCAGAAATATGAATATAGCCATGTATTTAATGACAGTGGGAAATTTAGAAATTATTTAGCAGTGGAAGAATGCACAATCAAGGTAGTTTATTAGTACAATGGAATAGAAAGCAATGACTGCATAATAAGCATTATATCTGAGCATGAACATGGAAACATTTATGAAATAAGTGAAATCTTAGGATAAAAAACAATTCTACAATGATAATATAAAAAGTATATAAGCACATACTTTTCGAACAAAATATAACCTTGATATATATGCACTATTTATACATATTTGTTCTCTCCCAACCAATATATAATATAAAATTTAATAAAAATACTAAACCCAAAGTAAATATAAAGAAATGTAAATGTTTCTGCTTTTTTCCATGGTCACTTGTCCAATGCTCCTTCTAAAACATCAAATAAAAACATCTTTCAGAAACATTTTGGAGTCCTCTGTTTTGTGGGTACCCTGAGTATGTTTGCTCCGTGTGTTGCATAATCCAGCATCGATCAGTAAGGCAGAGCTTCTAACTTGCCCTTCATACACCCCTGCATTGCCTGACTTGTTATAATCAGTACACACTAATTCTGTCGTTAATTAAAAATCCCAATGAGGTGGAGAAAAACACGAACTTCAAAATTCTACTTGTTTATTTATTATTGAAGGGCTACAGTTTAAGAATTAAAGTATAAAATATACATTCAGACTCAAATGGATCATGTCTCCACAAATAAAAGGAAAATTGAAATGATTATCTTGATCAATTAACGTTTTGAAATCCACTTTTAAGTGAAACAAAGGCTTTGGGACTTCCCAGGCAGATTATTTTTCCTCACAACTCAAATCACAGGTGACTATTACTCAGTCTTTCCCTTCACTTTCCCCGGCATAAAAACTCGGGTCACTGCAATATAGGGAGGCTGAGTACAAAACAGTGTGCGCAGTCACACGCTCTGAAACACCTACAGAGGGAAACTCCCCAAAAGGAGGGTGCTGGTACCGAGGTGCTGATATCACGACTTCAGGTCATGCAGCTACAGGGCAGCCTTCTGTAACCACCAGACAGGGGTAATCATTTATCGGACAAATATCAAGATTTCTAAATATACCTCTGAAGTGTTACAGCTTCCCCCCCCCCACCAATTCTCCTCCTGTTTAGTGGTTTTACTTTAAAACCAATCTTTCAGATGTGTGGGTGGGTTGAAAATGAGTGGAAAATGAAGAAATATAAGTACAGACAACATATCTGAGATCTTTACAAGATCTAAAATTCTTTGCCTCTAATCAGTGGACACTAGCCGAGGTATTAATAGTAGGTACCTTGGGTTTATGTAGATGATAGGAGCGAAAACCACAGTACACATTTAATCCAGAGGAAAATATATCTATGTGAGGATTTCTTACCAGTTTGCTGTAGCTCAAAAGAGGAGGAGAGAAAAGAGTTGATGATAATAAGACAAGTTCAAGCAGATGGAAAATAATGAGTGACAAAGAGACCAAGAGTGTGGGAAATACTGTTTCATGTAACTTTTTGCTGTGTGCGCGCACACATATGTTTGTGTCTGCCCCTCAGAGGCAGAAACTGAATTAGCAATACTCCTAGTACACCACCCTCATTCACCTGTGTGCTCAGTTACTCTCTGGATTGACTGATTCTTTTTATCCAAACTTTCTTTTCTTCCCTTTGTCCCCATAATAAATAATCATTCCAATAGATTTGATGTGTGTTTCTTTACTTTAAGGCATTCATATAAATCACAGATTTTTCTTTTGAGCTATTTATTTTCAAATTACATAAATGGCATTATGCAATAAATCAATGTTACTCAGAATGCTGGTCCACAAGTTCTTTGTTATTGGCCTGCATTAAAATAAGTGAAATAATAGAAAATAATCATGTAGAAACATTTTTCTAAATTATGTTGGCTCTGATCACATTTAAATTACATAACATATAATTTTATGACTTTGGAATCTAATAATAAAAATTTGGGCTTGTATTTTGTATGTACTTTTGTAAATTTTATTTTTCTAGGAATTAAATTTTATAACCTAATAGACCTGCAATAGGTTAGAAATGTAATAAAACTAGTCCTCTACTACAAATACTTTGAGAAACACTGTTTAGGTTTTCATTGTACTCAGCAATGTCCACAGTTTGAGTCTTTTATAATTTTTCTCAATTTCCTTTGGAACCCAATGGTTTTAAAGTGAATACCATTTGGTTCCAAAGCTTGTAGCTTTTAAAACTGTATTTTTAATTAACATCTAAATGTATTGCATCATGGTCAGAGAACATAGACTTGATAATATTAATTCTTGAGAGAGAGAGAAAGAGATTTCAGAAATCATTTTGGAACAGAGAAATTATCAGAGAATTAATTGGTCCCATTGAAGTGTATGTAATATAATCAGTCTCCAATAGTGGTCTATATAACAGAAGGCTATTAATACTGTTTCCTTTAGGGAGGAAAATGAACAAACTAGAGATAGACAGATACATATTGGCTTTGTAAACATGAGTTTTGGCCAAATGGTCCTGTAGCCATTGGTCAAATCAGGAACATTAAAAACAGTTTTGACCATTGGCCTGTATGTAGAACACTCCTCTGGATCAGGTTTGAAAGCTTTTGGGAAGGCTGGCTCTCACAATTTCAAGCTCTTGCTCTTCTCAGTTTCACTGGGAAATATTTGAAGTCACAGATAAACTCAAGACCATAGCATTTAATCAAGTCTACAACTGGGACAAACACGTGTTTCCTAAATGAAAATCCAGAATCCTTGTTTCCTACCCCCATTTCCCAGGCGCTCATCCAGGTCTGTGTCTACTGGTGATTCCCAGAACACAAGTGACCTGAACTAGACGAGAGCCCTCCCTAGATAAATTTGAACATTGACTCTGCCTAAATAAACAGCGTGGGCAGAGTCCACTCCGTGATGATAGTGGCCTCTTTTAAATCCTCAGGGAAACGTAGTCAAAGTGTGACTTAAAATATGTATAAAACAACATGTAAGAGACCATGGGCTGGAGATGTTTTCCTTCCTAATTTTCTCTCCTTATATCTCAAAGCTGTGACAAGGGTCAAATGACATATCATGAAATTGCTCTAGACACAAAAACAAAATTGAACTGGTTTTTGCTGTTGAGATTGGTATTTCTGTGTGGGATTTGATTCAATGTTGGTTAAGTGTGGAAATATAATTTTAAAATTTAAATATTTTTGTGTTTATTTTTAATACCCTTTTCATTTTGAAATAATTTTCTTATTTACAGAAAAGTTTTAAAGATACTATAGCTTCCTATACCCATCACCCAGTCTCCTCCAAAGTTAGCATCTTATATTAGCACCTTACATTGCCATGGTTCATTTGTCCAAACTAAGAAACTGACTGTAATAGTTACTATTTTCTAACTTCTACCCTTCATTCAGAGTTCAGCAGTCTTTCCACTAATGTCTTTTCTCTGTCCCATAATCCCATCCAGGATACGTTATATTTAGTTGTCACATTTCCTTAGCTTTAGTAATGGTTTCTTAGTCTTCCTTGTTTTACATAATCTTGATGTTTAGAAGAGTATATTCTGGTACACTGGTCTAGTATTTTGTAAAATGTCCCTCAATTTGGGTTTCTCTGCTATTATTCTCCATAATTTTTTACTGAATTTCATATAAGCAGATTTTTACCCAAATGCCTTTTGTAAGTTACTTTAGTATTAGTATAGAACAATCCATTACAAATAGATTCCAATAAGAACCACAGAGAATTAAATGGATCCTGCTTTTCATAAAATTCCTTGCTGTGGATAGTCTAAGTACCTTACAGATGCTATTTCTCCAGGTCTCAATACATCACTATTAAATCAACACCAACTGATAGATTTTGTTTGCTAAACTTTAATAAAAGAACCACAGTGAACCCAACAGAGAAGTGTGTCAAATGTAATGAATTTAAGGTGTATGATGTTAGAATAATCCATAGTGTAGAAATTAATGTATCAATTGGTTATTCATGTATATGATGGTTTTACTTTTCAAAAATAGCATTTATACTTTAGTAAATGTTCAATGAAAAATATTTGATAAATCAAGTTAAATTTAGTAAAGCACATTATAAGTAAAATTGATTTATCTTGAAAACGGAACTATTTAATTGATAATACAGTCAAAAATAAAAAGAAATAAGGCAGTGGGAAAAACTCAGGACCTCACTTTCACCCAGTTCTCTCTCTGTCTTTCACACGTACACACTCGTGTACACACACATAATTACTCAGTGGAAACGTGATTAAATTTGCATGAGTAAAAGACCATAAAAATTATACATAAAAACAGCAAACAAGAATTCTTGTTTGGTAGGTAGAGAAAATTATATTACTAGAAAATTATAGAATTTAATCTCAAAAATGCTAAAAACTGATTTAATTAAATGAACACTAATCTGGGAACAGTTCAGCTATAAAATATAAAGTGGATTTCCTTCCCAAATAAAGATTTAAAGAGAAATCAAACACAATCAAAATTTTTTTCTCTCCTCACTTCCGTAAGTACAGTTTAGAATCATTTCTGTGTATTTTAGGACATCGTCATCTTCTCTCCACAGCTACAACTTCCAGGACAACCGTCCGGAATCAGGGTAGTGATGGAGTCTAAAAATAAAATTCCCATCAGTTGCTCTTGCACAGATCACCACACAAACTCATTCACCTTCCACAGGAAGCAGCTTGGTTAATAACAAACCTTTACAACAGCCTTGACGTGCAGGACGCAGGGGGAGAAAATAAGACAAAGCTCAATGGCCTTGCCAGCGTGCTCCAGTTAATCCTTCAGAGGCCTGTGGCTCTTGTAAAAACCCGAGACAAAGGCCCTGAAAGAGTATTTTAAGTGCCAGAATCCCCTAAATTTTTATAAGTCATGAATTTCAAAATTTAGAAATTAATTTTAGTACTTTCCTGCCATGCATTTAATACCATTTTAACAACATATTTCCTGTCAAAGTACCATTACCTTCATGTTATCAGAACAATAATAAGTGCACATGTTCATACAGATTTTTATGCTGGAAGACATAACGAGTGTTTTTCAGGAGGATCTTGCATTTTTTTTACCAGAATTAAATCTGATATTTTAAGGAATGTTTCACACAAAATGTAACAGAAAACAATGCAGAAGTGATATATCACTCCCTGCTCTGTGTTTCTAACAGTATTTTGAATCAACCACATGGAAGTTTTTCCATTGTTTTGTACTAGTTTAAACCATATAAGTTGAAGATATTCATCATTTTGATGTACGAAAATGGCAATTTTCTATGGTTTCACTTCTTTCCTTCATAGGCACCTAATTTGCTCACAGCTGTAAGCAACTTGAATGCACAAGATTGCACGTCGTTTGTCTTTCTCACTCAAGAACATTGTGCTCGGGACTAACAAATAGTAAACATAGAGTAAATGGCCATGACATTTAAATGAATGGATAAGGAACTGAACTGCTCTCAGAATTCAATACATTTAAAATCAATTGGTAAAGAAAAGAATAATCCTCGGCTTTCCTAGGAAAGGACAAATACTGCATTCAAAAGAAACATGAGGGTTTTGTTTATTTTTTGTTTTGTCTGCACTTTTAAGTTACGTTTGCACAACAGCAAATACTTAGATGACTGGGTACATATTTTAGTCTTCATGTGTAAGTTTTCATAGGTAGGCACAGTTTAAAACTGAGACATATTTACAGCTCTAGAATTTCTATTCTTTTTTACACTCATTATTCCCCATACAAATGAAATCCATTCCAGTCTTGCCAGGTGGGGTGGCATAACGAATGTGAGAACCCCTGCATGTAACTATTCGTAATTTGTGGAACATCATTAATTTCAAGACGATTAATAAGTGAAACATCCTTTTCGAGATTAGAATGAAGGAAAATAGGATATAGTCTTCTTGGAGAAAAACATGGAGATTGTGATTTAAGAAACTGGAAATTGCTCAGATAATTTTCCCATTTGTAAACATATCCTTATTGTCACATGCTTTAAAAAAATGTGATACTCCTGGTACTATTTGTTGCCTATTGATCTGCATGGCTTTCTGTCCAAACAAAACCTATTTTTCCATAGTGGATAACATGGCTTGTTCAGGGGGTGGAGAGACCAGTCTGGGGGCTCAGGGCAGTGCCAGGCCAAGACAGTGCCCCACCGAAGTGCCCAGTTGGGGGATCCTGGCACTGGAGAGCTAACATGGGAGCTTTCTATGTGGGGGCATTGGGGCATTCTAGGAACAATAGAAGATACCATTCCCAGGGCTCATAATGTGTATATCCCACATGTCATACTTCACAACAACCCTGCAAAATAAATATTGTCATACTCATTAGTACTTGCTTGCCTAGCCTTGGACTAGACTGTATGCTGTGGCTTCATGAAGCTAAATGTGGGAGAGACATGAAATAAAGAAATAATTTCCTGAATACCTCTTGTCCAGCAGTGATAAAATACTTTGAAGTAACACACAACCAGACTAAGGGAACAGCACCTGCGGGTGGATGATCTTAGGATGGAGTGGCAAGGGAGGGCCTCTCTGAGGAGGGGCCACTGGTGCAGAGCCCTGGAAGACGTATGGGGGTCAGAAGCGCTGATCCTAGAGAGAACCATGGAACAGCAAGGATGATGCAGGAGACCTACTCACACTAAATGCTATTTGTTTCTTATCTGAAATTCAAGTTTAAGGTGGGCATCCTGGATTTTTGTTTGATAAGTCTGGCAACTCTCAGCCAAGGAAACTTGGAGATGGAGATGAAGAGCAGGGAAAGGGAATTGGCATGTCCAGAGGGGCAGAAACAGAGAAAAACGGGGTGCTCCATGGCACCCCGATGTTCTCCAGTGATTGCTGACGCGTACTGAGCACTGGACTTAGCGTGTGGCCATCGCTACTCTGAGGGCTTTACAAGGATTAATTCGTTTATTCTTCGTAAAACATGTGTGGCAGGTTATCATTATTCCCGTTTTAAAAATGAGGAATCTGAGACATAAAGAGGCAAAGTAATGTGTCCAGAACCACAGAACCGGGAAATGTTGTAGCTAGGATGTTAAACCCATGTTTGGAGTCGGGGGCTGCTGTCTTTTGGATAGAGAAAAGATTACCTGTTCCAGGTAAGCTTTTAGGGGGCCTTCCGTCATTTTTTAAAGGTCAGATCACCCAGCCACAATTCCTACATGAAGTGAAATACCATTTGTCTAAACTCTGCTTCACCACGGGTTACATACAGCTGGCTTGCCTCAGCCCCTCTCTGTATTCCCTCAAGCACTCGGGTCTGGGTATGTCCTCCCACAGTTCCCCTTTGGATTCGAAAATCACCTTGTTCCTGGAATGTGGGATCTGCCCCTCTCTGTCGCTACCTTCGCAACAGCTTATGGGAAGCAAACAAGTGTGGAGCAATTGAGCAAGAACTTCTGGGACACCAACCTTGGAGAAGAAGCAAGGAATGTGGAGTGCATGTTGACCATCTAAACAGGACAAAGATAATGATTAATCAAATCTCCAGAAGGTTTAAATGAGATGGGCACTGGGAGTGGGGGCAGTCCTCCTTTCTTGCCGCTCCTTGGGAGCCACCCCACCCTCAGGAAAGATGTCTACCGTGAGGATCTTTTGCCTGGTCCTGAGCCTGGCAGGCACAGTTTGGGTATGGCTTCCTTTGCTTTCTCTTCTTGCTCACTGTCTGGTGTTTGTTTCACAAAGAGCTTGCATGTCTGAGTCGACTTTCCCTGTGTCCTCACCCTGTTAGTTCTCCAAACTCTGGGCCGTGGAGGTGAGTTCCCAGACGGGCTGAACACCTCAGCAGTGCTGGGTAATATGACCCTAAGAGGGAGACTTGGGGGGAACACAACAAATTCACAGGGGAAGCTTTAACATATGTAACTCAGGCTTACAACATCTTGGTGGTTTTTTTTAAGGGATGATATCTATGTTGCTCTAAAGCCTTGAGATGGTTACTACTAGTTAATAGAAAAAAAATTCACATAAGTTATTTAAATCTAATTATTATTTTCTTGCTATATGTTCAGAATAAGCAGAACAGTGGTTTAATATAGTTTTTCTGAAAGATTGTTTCTGTGCTTCTTTTAAGACAAACGCAAAGCAAATTAGTTGTCTTTGCAAATATATTACATAGCAAAGTCAGATGAGACTAAGTAATTAGGCAATATGCTTTTTGGAAGCAATTATATTGTTTTAAGATAATTACTAAACATTACAATAACTTCTAAAGTTTGACTCCAGAAACCTATAGAAGAGAAACTTTATTCAACAAGGCTTTTGAAACACTTTGATCTTCTAAAAAAACATGACAAATATGTTTACAAACTCAGTTACATCGAGGCTGTGAATTACTCCAATTTATTTCTTTTCCTTCACCGCTCATAAGCTTTTAAACCAGAACAGAAAAAAAAAACTAAAGAGGGTTTCTAACTTAATTTTCTCTCTTAAAGTAAAACAAGAAGTAAATATTTTTATGGGAAATAAAACTAACATAACTTGCTAAGATGATATTTTGGATAATGCATAACTTTCAGTTATTTTTCCCTGTTATTGGCATAAATATTCAATTTTTGCCTGCTTTTATTCTTGTGTCATTTATTCTTGTGTCTTATATCATCTTATTTCTTAGACAAAAAGATTACATTTGTTACTTTAAATAAATTGTTCTTGATTGCTTGAATTAGTATTGATATTATGGTTGAGGTATTTTTTAAATGAGATGACAAATGTTAGCTAATTATAAGAATAAGCTGTCTGAGATCAAAATAGTCATAGTCACGGACAACAGTGTGGTGGGTATGGGGGGATGGAGGTAGAGGAGGGTTGGGGGGAATCATGACAATGGAAATAATACAATGAAATAGAGTAGTCATAGCAAAATCCTTGTAAGTTGGTGGTACAAAGTAAAAATAGCTTAAACCTAAGCCTTGCATTGATTTGTTAGCTTATAAAATCTTATTAGAATACTTTCATGTCTTCTTTTATCTCATAGATCACAAGAGAAAATTTTTTTAATCTGAATTTCTAATTATAAGATGTCCAAAAATGTTGTCAGTTGTGAACCATTATCTATGCTTTCATTCTATTTTTCTTCATTTTAAACACAAATAAAATATTAGATGAGTGAGCAACCTAAAAAGCATTTCTGAATCTGAACTGGCCACATTTGTGTCCCTGGTAATATTTGCTCAAATTATGGACCTCCAAGGCCATAGCAGAAACTTAAAGGAGTGACAGACATTAAGCCAAGATAATGGAGACTTTTTCCTATTAAAACAGGAATTATAGGAGAAAGAACTCCTTAAATTTTCTGTGATTGATCTACAGACATTAATGAAAATTAAAAAAATAAAATTTAAGTAATTTCGTTCATTCAAATAATTTTCCTTTTATAACAGAGCCTTTAAAAGGTCTACCATTTACTATATGACTTAGTGTCAAACACAGTTAAGAAATTTCTACACCTTATCTCCTTTCATTCTTACACCTTCCAAAAATGGGCTTTAGGGTTTTCATTTGAAAGATAAGGAACAGCTGGGGGGTGTTGAGATTGAGCAAAAAAGAAAAAGAACAGATGGACTTGGTGATTGTGTGGGGTGGAGGTGGAAGAGGGAGTAAGTGGGAAAAATGGTAATGGAAAAATACAATAAAGTTATTAATAAAATAAAACAAAGTAAAATAAATAAAATAAAGTAAAGTAAAATAAAATAAAATAAAATAAAATAAAATAAAATAAAATAAAATAAAATAAAATAAAAATAAAAATAAAATAAGAAACCCAAAGCTTGGAGAGCCCCCAGAGCTGGTGCACTCAATCTCTTGGAAAACCCCTCCTCTACTCTGTGCCTGGCAGGCATTCCAAGTGTCTTTGCCTTATCTGCTCACTGTTCCTTCCTGTTGTGTGTGTGAATGAATCCTTCCAGACTGCAGAGACGGGCCCAGGTGAATTTTTAGCTGAAGGAGGAGCTGCGCGTGGCCCCAGGCTGATGGAAAGACAGCAGTCTTCCTGCCGAGAGACAGACTGGCCCTTCTGCTCCGACGACGACTGGGTGAGCCGTGGGCCTGGGGACGGGGCACCCTTCCTCGTGCTGTGAGAGATGTCTGCCGGCTGACCCCAGGAGGTCGCAGAAAACTTGCTCAATGGAAATCATCGAATGACTCCTTACATGTTAAGTGAAAAGGAACCTAGTCCAGAGAGCATTGTTTAAATTACCTCCCATACTCTGGTCATCAGTGGGATAAAGAGATTGGATTTTAACTGCATGTTCAGAAAGATACTCAGAATCGGAATATTATGACCTGAAGATTTCATGGGGTCTAGTTTGGGATTGAGAGGGTCCTCATTACAGGGCTTCTCATGAGCTCTGACTAGTCCTCTTAAACAACTTTTAAATCAATAGATGATCTGAAGGGACAGGGAGTGATAAGAGCTTCATGGAAACCTTCAAAATTGTACTGAACTCAAGAGATAGACCCTTAATGTAAGTTTTTTCTCTTCACTTTCAGAACCAAAAATGCCCTTCTGGCTGCAGAATGAAAGGGTTGATTGATGAAGTTAATCAAGATTTTACAAACAGAATAAATAAGCTAAAAAACTCACTATTCGATTATCAGAAGAACAACAAGGACTCTAACTCACTGACCAAGAATATAATTGACCTAGTGAGAGGGGATTTTGCCAATGCTAACAGTGAGTATTACATATTTAGTGTTTTGACTTTATAGCACACAACAAAACAACATCAAAAATCCTAAATATGGTGTCTCTTTATGGCAACTGAGGTTATACTTCATGTAAAAACACGTACTGTGTTTCTAAGAGTACATTAAGGTGTAAGTGAATTCTTAAGGAGGGGTTTGCAATTTTGTTATTGTTATAATGTAAAAAAGGTCAGCTTAGAATTGCTTAAGATCACAATGGAAGTCAGAATTCTGGATTGAAGACTAGAATTTAAGTGTTTTCTTTCCAAGGGTATATACTGAAAATAAGCTGGGCCCACCCTTTTGAGTAGATACGATTTGTTTCTCTCTTACAGAGGAGGGAACTGAGAGGTCCAGGGACTTTCCTAAAGACACAAAGCAGTCATGTGATGGAGTTGAGTGCAACCCAGAGACTCCACTAGGCTGATTATGCAGTTGTTGTTGTTGTTGTTGTTTTTAATTTTAAAATACATAGCCATGTTATAGCTTTCTCACGGGATGAGGGCTAGGGCTCATTAGGATCAGGAAACATTGGGTTTGTTCTGCACATGGGCAGCAAGTTTAGTGAGGCCCCAGTTCCTGAAGCCTTGCTGGACTCTTTGTATCTTCAGGAGACACTTAACTAATCTAAAGTCAATGGTGCAGCAGTCATTGGCAAGTGAGTGATCCTGTCGACCTAAATAAAAGGTTAGGAATAATTTCAAATCCGTGGGTAAGAAGAAAACTTCAGTAAGAAAATCCAGGAACACATCTCCCACTACACTATGTCTGGCTATCAAGAAAAACACATGACAAGGCACAGCAAAAGGCAAAGGGCATGCACTGAAGAGGCAGAGCCAGCATCAGAGCCAGACACGGCAGGGAGGCTGAAACTATCAGACTGGGAGTTTAGAGCCACTAATGGCTAGTATGCCAAGGATTCTAATGAATGAAGTAGAGAATGTGACTATGCAAGAACATGGGCAATGCAAGCAGAGAAATGGAAATCCTAAGAAAGAACTAAAATTAAATGCCAAAGATTAAAAATAATGAAACAGAAGTGAAGAATGCCTGTGACAGGTTCATTACTAGACTGGACATGGCTGAGCTAAGAATCTCTGAGTAAGATGATATACCAATAGAATCCTCAAGAACTTATGCATTCATCCTTCTACTAGTACAATCCCATAGAATGTACAGCAGCAAGAGTGAACCATAAGGTAAACTATGAACTCTGGGTGATTATGATGATCAATGCAGGCTCATCCTTGATTTAAAAAAAGTGCCATTCCAATGAGTGATGATAACGAGAGAGACTATGTATGTTAGGGGCCGTGGGTATGTGGGAAATCTCTGTACCTTCTCGATTTTCTTGGAAACTTAAAACTGTTCTGAAAATGAATTGATAAATACACATACACACAAAGAAAAAACATAGGAAATTATGAAAACAAAAATCCAAGCACATGTTTGAATCCCCTGAGTAAGCGTATGATGAAATAATTGGAATGTGATAAAACCAATTTTTTATCTCTTAATCACACCTTTAAAATTCCAAAGAGATTTTTTCTTCTGCAATTATTTGGATTACTAATTGCTAGCAGGACACCTTAACTGGCATCCATGATGACAACAGGGCTTAACAGTGTCCAAAAATCAAACGCCTAAGAGACTCGCAACTCACAAAGTTAATATCCAGAGAACAAACTATTATGAAAATAAAACAGGGAGTATTTTTAAGTAGATTTCCTTCTTTTGTTGGTTATTACAAGCAGATCATGCAGCAGCTACTTTAATATCCGTATTTTCTATTTCAGACCATGATAATACATTCAGCCAAGTGTCGGAGGACCTGAGAAGCAGGCTTGAAGTTCTGAAGCGCAAAGTCACAGAACAAGTACAGCATATCCAGCTTCTGCAGAAAAATGTCAAGGCTCAGTTGATAGATATGAAACGACTGGAGGTAAGGATGTGGCTCTATCACTGGATTTCCTTATTTTTGAATAACAGGGAAGAGCAAGGCAATAGCCATTCGCTGGACTGCCTACTACATGTAGAGCAAAGCGTTATATGTCCCTCATCTACCTACAAAGTGGGTATTATTCCCCCACTCTACAGATGAAGAAAAAAGCTCAGTGATACTAAATAAAATTTCCCAGGGCACATAAAGAGTAAATTTCAAAATCAAATATTTAGTCCCTGCTTGTCTTATTCAAATTCCTGATACTGCCAAGCCTCTGAGCCCTCAGCCTCACTGAAGATCACTTCATTAGTGTTGCCTTTCAGAGGGAATAGCAATTTGCCCTTGACCTGTTCTAGGATGAATCCAAATAGTTCCTATTGCTTCTCCTGGCCAGCCTTACAATACCCTGCATCTCTTCCACTGAGGATACTACATAAATGGAAAATAAAATTTTGGTTGGTAGATTTCCAAGTCAAAGAAATGAAAACAGTTTCCAAGAAATAAATTAAGTAGTAAGAACTCAATAGATATCTTATATTTGCATATATCTACCTTTTTTCTTCTCTCTCCTCTTCTGTCTAGGTGGACATTGATATTAAGATCCGATCTTGCCAAGGGTCCTGCAGTAGGTCTGTAACGCGTGGGATAGATCTACAGGACTATGAAGAGCAGCAGAAACAACTTGAACAGATCATTGCCAAAGACTTGCTTCCCTCTAAATATAGGCAGCACTTACCAGTGTTAAAGATAAGCCCGGCTTTAGATTTCTTTCCCAGAGATTTCAAGAGTCAGCTTCAGACAGCCCCTCCAGAGTGGAGGGCACTCACAGAAATGCAACAGATGAAAATGGTGTTACAGAGGTCTGGAACAGACGGCAATCCCCGAGGAGACTCTGCATCTTATGGAACAGGACTAGCCCCTGAAAGCACCAGGAATCCTGAACCTGCTAGTACAGGAAATAGGAAACCTGGCAGTTCCAGACCTAGTGGTGCTGGCACTTGGGAATCTGGCAGTTCCAGACCTGGTGGTACTGGCACTTGGGAATCTGGCAGTTCCAGACCTGGTGGTACTGGCACTTGGGAATCTGGCAGTTCCAGACCTGGTGGTACTGGCACTTGGGAATCTGGCAGTTCCAGACCTGGTGGTACTGGCACTTGGGAATCTGGCAGTTCCAGACCTGGTGGTACTGGCACTTGGGACCATTCAAGTCTTGGGTCTGGAAGTTTTAGGCCAGATAGCTCAGGGCATGGGAACACCAGGCCTACGAATACAGACTGGGGCACATTTGAAGAGGATTTGGGAAGTATAAGCACAGGGTCAAGGAAAGAGCACTACCACACAGGTAAACTGGTCACTTCTGACGGAGGAAAAGAGCTTCTGATTAGTAATGAGAAGGCCAACACTGGTGGCCCAACCCCCGGTCGTCGTTTTTCATGCTCCAAAACCGTCACGAAGACTGTTATAGGTGCTGATGGACACAAAAAAGTGACTGAAGAAGTGGTAAACTCTGAAGATGGTTCTGACTGTGGGGATGCAATCGATTTAGGCTCATACAGTCTTTCTGGCACGGGTGGCCTAGATGACTTCCGTAGGAGGTTCCCTGAGCACGCTGATTTTTTTGACATGGGCTCAACTGAAAAATTACTCTCGTTACCTGCGCACAGAGAATTGGAGACTAAGACCCACTCTATGAGCTCAGCATCTGACTTTATAACCGACTTAGGGGAATCCAGTTCTCACCAAGTCAAAAAAACTTCTCTTGACGTCAGAGGAACTCGTACTACCACGAGAGGCCGTAGTAAAACTCGCCCAGCCAGAGGTATCCGCACTTCTCCTTTGGGGAAGCCTTCCCTGACCCTCTAGACTAAGTTACTTATTTTTACAATGTGCTCCCATGGCACTTTGCAATTCTTTCCTAGCCTTCTCTCATGCTTTATTAAAATTACACCTTTTATTTGTTTGTTTTTCATGCTGGACTGTAAGTTCCACAGGGGCAGGGACTTTGTCTATCACATTCACCTCTGTATCCCCACATACCTAATAGTGAAGAGGGTCACCATTCAATAAATACTTGTTAAATGAATGAATCCCACTGAAACTCGATTTTGAGTTTGTTTAACCAATTTTTTTACTATTCAAAATGTGCATTGTTGGAATCATATATTTAGAGTGGCTCTCACTTGAAATGGGGATCAAGTTAGAAACAAGTTATATTAGTGCTAAATGATGCTTAGTTATATTTTCTGGTTACTTGCTATTAATCAGTACATGCAAGTAAAATTCCAAATCCATTGAAGAAATCCCCTTTGCGATGTGTAGGTATAAATGCCACTCATTTGCTTATGATTCATTCCAGTGTAAGTGTATTTTTTCTCCATAGAGGGAAGGAAGGAAGAAAAGAGGAAAGGAAGGAAGGAAAGAGGGAAGGAAAAAAGGGAAGGGTAGGTAGGAAAAGGAAGCCAATATCTTGCCTTTGTTTTAGTCTGGGCCATTCCTATCTTTGTAAAGGTAAATGAGAGTAACTTCTTCCAACCAGCTTAATTTTTTTTTTAGACTGTGATGATGTCCTCCAAACACATCCTTCAGGTGCCCAAAGTGGCCTTTTCAATATCAAGCTACCAGGATCCAGTAAGATTTTTTCAGTTTATTGCGATCAAGAGACCGGTTTGGGAGGATGGCTTTTGATCCAGCAAAGAATGGATGGATCACTGAATTTTAACCGGACGTGGCAAGACTACAAGAGAGGTTTCGGCAGCCTGAATGACAAGGGAGAAGGAGAATTCTGGCTAGGCAATGAATACCTCCACTTACTAACCCTGAGAGGCTCTGTCCTTCGGGTTGAATTAGAGGACTGGTCTGGGAACTGGGTATTTGCAGAGTATCACTTGAGGGTAGGCTCTGAAGCAGAAGGCTACGCTCTGCAGGTCTCCTCCTATGAGGGCACGGCGGGTGATGCTCTGATTGAGGGTTCCATGGAGGAAGGCACTGAGTATACTTCTCACGCTGGCATGCAGTTCAGCACCTTTGACAGGGACGCAGACCAGTGGGAAGAGAACTGTGCAGAAGTCTACGGTGGAGGCTGGTGGTACAACAACTGCCAGGCGGCCAATCTCAATGGCATCTATTACCCTGGGGGCTTCTACGACCCCAGGAACAACAGTCCTTATGAGATTGAGAATGGGGTGGTCTGGCTGCCCTTCAGAGGAGCCGATTACTCCCTCAGGGCTGTCCGCATGAAAATCAGGCCTCTGGTAGCCCAGTAAGCTGACAGAGTGGAAATGAGAGAACTCCGTTTTGTTTAGTGAAGTGGAGAGAAAATAAGGAAGATGAAGGAGTCAAGATTCTCTACAACTTAAAAATTCCCGGGTGCTATTTTATTATTTTTTGTACTGTAGCTAAATGTAACCGAGACATATTAGTGCTTAAAAAAAATAAAGTTATATGATTTTTTAAACCTTTAAAATAACTCTGTGAGTTTTAAAATTTCTATAAGGATACACCAAGGGGCATTCAGTACATCAGAAAGAGGAAGTCAGATGAAAGCTCCTCTCTGCCACCCTTAAGGGTGTTGTTTGCAGTACTTCTCTTCCCATACCATTCAAAGTCATAGGGACATGGTCAAGTAGGAAAGTCACTTTGGCCCGTGTGGCTCAGTTGGCTTGATTGTCGTTCTGTAACCAAAAGGTTGTGGGTTTAATTCCTGGCCAGGGCACATACCTAGGTTGTGGGTCTAATCCCTCCGCTGGGTGTGTATGCGATCCCCAATGTTTCTCTCTCTCCCCTTCCTCTCTCTCTAAAACAATGGAAAAAAATGTCCTCTAGTAAGGATTAAGGGAAAAGTTATCTCATATTTAATTGGAATGACTTAAAACCAATCAATGTTTTAAATTGCAAAGCACTAAATTTAACAATGGGTGGCTTTTGTAGAAGAATTCCCAAAGTCATTTTATCTCTTCTGCTGGCAAGCAAATCCAGGAAGGCAGGGCATGCACTCCATCAGAACAGAAATAGAGTCTATTCATAATGAAGACCACAATGCACACTAAATATTTTTTCCAGAGTCTAATCAATTTCTTTCCAAAAAAAATACTTGGAAAAACGCATTTAAATTTTTAAAAATATTTGTAAGTTTCCAAAACCAGATAGCATTTACTCATTGGTAAATAATTTTCATAGCATTTATTTTACTTTATTTTCCCACCAGTTGTAACAGTCTGTGACACATTAGGTGTTAGTAAAGTAAAACTTTTGTTTGAAAGCACCTCCATACAACTCATAAATTCAACATATTACATTGGTTAATATTATATTTTGATCTAAGTTGCATCTCTGATCTTGGTGGCCTCAGCTCCTGCTCCCAATTCTTAATTCATATTTTATCCTAGTGAGTACTACTTGTCATGCATTCTTAAAAACGTATTAAAATATCCCAAGCACATTGGGATCCCAATACATTGCACTCAACTGCATAGTTTCTATCCCAATATAACTGCATTCATTCTCCTTGTAAGGGAAGGAAAGAGACGGAGGGAGAAACCGCATGATGGATGAGGGAGGGAGGCAGGCAGGAAAACAGAGAAGGAAGGAAGGGGTTAGGGCTAGGGACCAGAGCCTGGGAAGCAGAAAAGTGAGCATAAAAACTCACAAGTGAGTCACATGTGAAGTCTCAGTATTCTTGCTTTTCCTTACGTGCAAATAAAAATCCTTGCTACAAATAAGTGATACATCTCCAAATCATTGGATACTTGCATAAGAACTTCCCATGAATTAAAAAAAAGTTTCATTTATTTTAGGCAATGAAGTTCCATATTATCTCTCTGCCCACCTTGTAGTCACTCACACATATACCTCCTCAGAATTTTATTTGTAGGAAGAATTTTATTTTCTACAATATCACTATCTCACAATGTCAGGTCCCCAAAACGAAAATGACTCTGAGTGTGAAGGGTCATTTATTTCTCACTTACTTTGAAGGCTTAGAGTTCATTAGCAAAGAGTAGGCAACTTTTTTAAATTTAATAAACAACACCCAATATTAGTACAATCATGAAATTAGACATACAATTTAATTGTGAGAAAAGACACCAAGTATCTCTTTCCCATTTTACCTTACCTTTAACCTGTTGCTCTATTTCCTTTGTTCCTGAAATTAAATATTAAGTCAACTTCTCTGATGATCATTTACATGGAAACCCACTTTAAGTTGGTTTTCACTCTCTTGAAATTGTTCTCCTTAAAGTCAACAATAACTTTGTAGTTCTAGAGTTAATTTCCTACATTCAAGACTCTTCTTACTTGGCCTTTTTAAAACATCTGCTACCAGTGTCCCTATCATTCTCTTCGATCTGTATTTTTCTCATTTCTGGTATATCATTCCTAACCATGTCACTTTCCTTAGTCTTTTTAACTGGCCACTTCTTTCTTAGACCACTCCTTAAATGGAGCCATTTCTCACTACAATAATATTAGTACTCATTTTTATCAGTGAGCATTAGGTTGGACCCATGTGGCTTAAGGAAAATGGACACTTATTTTCTGTCCACAGAAATGCCTACAGGAACATGTCCCCGTAGTGTCTTCAGGAAACCATCATCCTGATAAGTGGCTTCCATCCTCAGGTTTACCTCATGGTTTAAACACTATGTTCTCTGGAAATCTGGAAGAATGAGGAAAGAGAAGTAAAAACAAGTGCCTTCTCTCTTTGAAGGAAATTTCCTGGATGTTCTGTATGGCACTTCTTCTAATATCTCATTAGCCACAGCTTGGTCACACAGACATACCTAGCCACAGGAGAGGCTGAGACACCTAACTGTTAGCTTAGATACAGGCTATCCCACTCAAAATTAGGATTCTGTTACTAAGGAGGAGACAGAGAACAGATGTTGGGTAAGCAATTAGCAGCTTATCTCTCCTATCTTTCCTATCTTTCCTATCTTTCCTCTCCTTATGTGTACATTTTCTCCTTGGTTAATTTGACAATCACCATAGTTTCAATTAATCCATAGGTTGATGATAGCTGAATTGAAAACTTCAGTCCTGACATCAGATCCATTATTTCCACTAATACTGAACACGTCCGGTTAGACGTGTAATTTCTCATTAATTTAAGATTAAACCAATAACCTTTCATCAAAGCCTATTGCATCTTCTCTATTTTTTCTCCCATTCAGAGGCATCATTAACCTTGCAGTTTTGTAATTTGGAAAATTTGGGCTCCTTCTCAGCTTCTTTATTAAAATTCCTGTAACTAATCTCTTCCCAAACCATCTTTTACTCTAGAATTGGTCATTCTAACAGCATTTTTGTATTCTTATGCAATCTTGTGTTATTTTTTTTCTGATTTAGGCTGTTCAATAGTCTCTTAACCTCTTGCTTTACCACTCCTCTTTTTGTTCGTCCTCCATAGTTACCTTTTCAAAACTAAGCCAAATCATGGCTTCATCTTGTTTAAGACCTTATCTTAAGGTCGAGTTAAAGCAGAATGGAAGAACAAACAAAACAGACACGTAGCTACAGAGAACAAACTGATGGTTGTCAGAAGGGAGGGGCTGGGGTGGTGAGTCAGAAAAAGTAAAGGGGAATAAGATGTACACACTTTCAGGATTCTTTGGTTGTTTTCCCAGAAGTGGAATTTCTGGGTCAAAAAGGAATCTTATTTTTAATTTTTTGAGGAAACCCCATACTGTTTTCCATAGTGGTTGCAACAACTGGCCTTCTGACCAGGAGTGCACTAGGATTCCTTTTCTTCACATCCTCTCCAGCATTTGTTGTTTGTTGATTTATCGATGGTAGCCATTCTGACAGGTGTAAGGTCATATCTTATTGTGGTTTTAATTTGCATTTCTCTGATAATTAGTGATGTTGAGCATTTTTTTCATATGTCTATGGGCCATCTGGATATCCTCTTTGGAGAAGTGTCTATTCAATTCCTTTGCCCATTTTTTAATTGGATTGTTTATTTGTATTTTACATTTACTTAAACATAAGACTATTATATATAGCATTCAATTTTAATTATTTTTCCCCACTGGTATTATTGATCTAATTATACTCTATCATGTTTTCCTTTTGTAACCAACAAAATACATTTCCACTTTAGTTAGCTGACATGAGGGGCACAGCTGGTGAATTAGAACAAGACAAGTTCACTAATGTCTAATCATGTCTAGAAAAGCCTGAAAGAAAATGACACCATATTAATATAGGTACACCCAGGTTACAAAAATCATAAACTAAACATTAGTTATACTTGAATGAAGTAATGCAACATTTATGGTATACTGAAAGAACTTGAGAAGAAGCAACACCTGGATTTTGGTAGCCATGAATATTATACAGGTTTAATTAACCATTTTAGAAATATCATATTTTATTTATTGATTGATGCATTTATTGATTAACCCACATCTTATTTTTAATTGACTCCCAAGCACTTTAAAAGCTGGTGATGGAGAATAATTTTTAATAGGGGGAAGGAAGGCAAGGGCTTTAAACATCATAGATGGTAAGGAATTTGCATAGTAATTCAAATGAAGTCTTATACAAGAGCTAGACAGTATGTCTTCCATTTCCACAGTGTAAAAGCAACACTTTGAAACCACAGAGGCAAGAACATTTAAGTTTGAACTGATTAAACAGTAGTCAGCTATTAAACAGTGGTCTCCCTGTTCATCAGCTCAGGGGTGAAGGTGGCTACATGTGGATTGCAACAGAGCACTCTAGAAAATATTTGCTAAATCCACCTTGGACTCTATCTACAATAGGTCAGTGACCTCAAGGTCGCATGCCTACATAAACCGTTGCAAAACTGCATTGAAAGTATATCCTTTGGAGAGATAAAGCACATGTTGCAAACAGCTGGTGAATCTAGGTGAAGGACATCAAGGTATTCATTAAACCATTCTTGTCATTTCTCTGTAAGACTGAAACTGCTGAAAATACAAAGTTGTTGGAAAACCATACTTTAGTCCATATACAAAACAAAAAACATGTCACCTATTGGTCACATCTTGGTTGCCAAAAGGAGAGAAAGAGCACAGTGGCTAATACTGGTACCAGTTGAGACTTGTCGCATAAGCATATGATTCTCCCAGTCTAATCACTTAGGAAATAAAATACTTGAATACACAGAAGGCAATATCATGTATCTGATTGCTACCTTACATACAAAAAAGGAACAGTTAAGAATTTATATAAAAGATGATTATGCTAATAGAAAGCTGAGGAAGAATATAAAAGATAATTCTCAAAAGACAAATGATCATTAAACATTTTAAAATCTCTTACTTGCACTAGTAATTAAAGATATGAAAATTAAGTTGCCAATATTTTAATTATAAAATTCAGAATTAGTGAGGGAGAAAAAATAAAAAATACCTGTAGTTCTGCATATACCAAGTGTTGTGAATTGATACAATTTTTGATACAACTCTGGAGAGTTATTTAGGTATATATAATATATAT